TACAAAATTAACGTAAGAGCCACAGTTTGATCTGAGGCAAATAAATATAAATGGTATTTATTTAATATTCCCCTGCCCTTTAAATAAGGGAAGTTTGCCATACTCAGGCAAAATAGCTTATTATAAAATAGCTGAAGCTGTGACCTATCACAGACGCTGCAGATTACACAGCGCAATTAGAATATCACATCAGACAGGCGATCCAGAAACAGGGCTTTAATGAACAGGAGCTTTGTACTGGGTTTTCCCCCGGGCTGTGGGCCAGGAGCATGGCAGGGTGCACTGCTGGGGCTGCCCTCCTGCTTGCCACTCCAGCCCCCTCTGCTCTTCCCCACAACCCTCTCCAATCTAGTCGATGGGGCCAGTGACACACAGCCACGCAGCCTGGCCAGCTCTGCAAACACAGTCCCCTCCTTTCCACGCTTTCCCCAGCCCTCCAGGACTCACCCCCACTATTCCCACTCAAGGTGTCTGGCCTTCCCCCCACCCTGAGCCATACTCTATATACAACTCGCATCACCAAACACCTCTAAACCCTCACTGATGTCTCCACACATGCAGCTGAGTCCCTGCAGCGATCCATAGAGGGAAGAAGGACCAGCTTTCCTTTTGAAAGTTTTCTTGGGTGAGAAAACCCTTCCATAGGCACGAACGTGGCAAGAGACCGTTCCTACAGCCCCTCTCAGGCAATGAGGACATTTCAGAGGGCAGCTGAGTTATCCCAGCCATAGCCCCTGCGTTCACAAGGGTTAGCAATTTCCCTCTGACTGCTGCAGGGCGCTGCTGGTTTATCTCTGTGCTTGCCACACCAGCGACAGGGTCAGCGTAAGCATCCCGCATCCCTTCTCCTCTCCCCCCGCTGCTCACAGGGCCCATGCAAGCTGCTGCTGCCATGTCACAGGCGAGGGACAAACCCTCCTGCCAGGGCAGGTATGCTGTTCCTCCAAGCTGAATTTTAAACCATTGTTTCAACTCACCTTTAATTGCCTCAGATAGTCTCCTGTTTTGTTTGGAGATTACGCTATATTCAGAGAGCCCAGAGTGACTTTTTTCTTTGCTCAGCTTAACCCCGTCTCGGTGACAGCCCTGCACCCCAGCAGCATCCTGGGGGTCAACTCACCTTTAATTGCCTCGGATAGTCTCCTGTTTTGTTTGGAGATTACGCTATATTCAGAGAGCCCAGAGTGACTTTTTTCTTTGCTCAGCTTAACCCCGTCTCGGTGACAGCCCTGCCCCCCAGCAGCATCCTGGGGGGGCCGGCGGCTGCAGCCCCAGCGGGCTGCCATGTTCACGGTCAACCAGCCCGAGCCTCATCTCATCCACACTCCAGTAAATCCCAAGGACTAGGGTGACTTTGATGGAAGTATTTCATTTTAGACTCCCCTAATGAGTTAATTAAAAGCACCCGAGTAGTTAGCTGTGTTACTCTCCTTTTTAGTAATTCTTCTTCACCTCTAATTAGCTGGCAGCCCCAGCGGGCTGCCATGTTCACGGTCAACCAGCCCGAGCCTCATCTCATCCACACTCCAGTAAATCCCAAGGACTAGGGTGACTTTGATGGAAGTATTTCATTTTAGACTCCCCTAATGAGTTAATTAAAAGCACCCGAGTAGTTAGCTGTGTTACTCTCCTTTTTAGTAATTCTTCTTCACCTCTAATTAGCTGGATAACTCTTATCTGATTCCCTTCACAATTTGTCTGTGTCTTTCTTGCACTGTGGAACAAAGGTTTGTGATCTTTGTTGATTCATTCAGCTATAACCTCTATATAATATGAGGAAATAAGGACAAAGCTAATCTTAGTTTTACTGATCAAGTCTACAAGCATTGCAATTTCGTAATATTCAGTACTTTCAAATACAGCCACCAAGATGACACCCCTCTGTCCCAAATCCCAGATTACAAGACACAAGTTGACCTTCACAGAGCACCAGGGATGCTCAAACTTTTAATTCAAGTTCCCTTTCTCTGGATTATATTTAAAACCAAAAAAAAAAACCCACCCCAAAACCACCAACCCCCTGCCCCCCCAATATTTAAAAGACAAGTAAGCTTCTGTGTTTAACAGTACTAATACTGACACAAAAAGGTTAGTTATCATTATAGTCAGCAAATATTCTATTAGCTACAGGTTTGCTTTTGTTAATGTTGAATCCATGCAAAAAAAAAAAATCTATTTCTAAACACTCCTAGGAATAAAACAAATTAATTTGCTTTATGTAGGCCAAGGTCATCTTCTGCAATTAAAAACCTGTCAAGTTACAACTCCTTACAAGGCAGTAATTTTAAGCAGGCATATGCTCCACCTCCTCTCAGTCCCATCATCTACTTCAGTGTCAACAGTATCACGCACTCCGGCACGGCAATAGCTCAGATCCCCACCACCTCTGAAAACGCCCAGGCTCATTGCTTCAAGCACAGACAAGGGCATGGTAAACATTTATTTTAAATAAAGAAACAAAATTCTCAAAGGAGAAAAAAAAAACCCACTGTATTGTAGTTATTTAAAAGGTCTTTATGTTGTCAGTGTAACATTTTCCCCTGTTGTCATATATTTTGTGAACCAGCAGTTGTGCTTAATTCATGAAGTTTTACTAGGCTCAATACTAATAAACACACTATCATTTCAGCGCAGAAGGTACCTTACACATTTTACTATTTTAAAACAGTCCTTACAGGCAAATTCTAAACAAACACCGATCGAGCTCCACAGAAACACTAACTCTCAAGCCAAACCACACTGCCTGCCTCAGCTTGATCTGCTGCTGATGTACAGAATCCTGTCACCAAAGATAGCTCCTCGACAAAGAAATGACCTTCAGAAACTCGAGCTCTTCATAGATGATTCTTTTTGGACAAGGGGGAGAGCAGGACAGGAAGAAGCAATGCAGGTGTGACACACCATATAGAGCAAAACAGCGTTTAAAACACAGCATACAGTGATTAACTTGCCATTTAAAATACGATTTAAGGTTTTAAATGTCACACTTATTTGCTTGTCTGGTTTTAAAAGTTCACAAATAGAATATTGAACATTTAAATCTATTAAGCATGTTTCTCAGAGCAATCATTAAAAATCTGTTTGCTCTAACAGAGTCGTATTTTGTAACTTCCCCGGGAGCAAACCCCGTTTCCCAAGCCTGTTCAATAAGGACTGATCTCCCTGCAAAAACTTAAGTTCATTTGTATCAATTTCACTAATGAGCATCGATTATCTCTTCTTGGGAAGGCACGACCAACAGAACACATTTATGGGAATCATTGCTGCTACAAACCCCAGTGCTTAGCAGAGATAAGCAGAATTAAGGCAACAGAGACCCGTACTGACGGCAGTCATACGAACCACAGCCGTCCTACAGGCAGAACGAATGTTCTGCTTGTCAGTCTTAAAAGTGTAAACCTTGAAAAACAAGATCATCCTTTCCTGTTAGAGACTGTAAAAAAGGAGAGCACACACTACATAATAATTCCAGTATTGTAGGGACTGGAACACATTACAGTCCTGGGAGAAGTTGTACCTAGAAGCAAACTCAGTCTGTTATCAAGATCACTCTTCACAGCACTTTCAGGCTACTCAGATCCCACACCTCCCTCCAAGAAACTGGTCCTTAACTTGCATGACTTCATATTTCAAAATAATTATTCAAATTAAAGGGACCACAATTAGCTTTGTATTTGCTGTGCCTTTTAAAGAGAAAAACCTGACTCCAGCCTTTGGGCAGCAGCTGTGACAGCTCTCACTTCTGCTCACCATCTTCTGAAGCCGCATGAGGACCAAGGCCGTAAGGTTTTACAGGTCCCCTCATATTTCAGTCTTAATACCGTGAAATGCCTCCCACTGGCATCAGATCCTCTCCTCCAGACCCCAACACAATTTTATTGCATTGATTTTGAAACGAAAGCAGATCCTTACCAAATGGATGAGGAGCAGAATTTGAATTTCAAAAGGAGACAGAAGATATAGCGAACACAAAGGCTGAAGAGGAACTACTTGGTGCAGACTATTACAATTTAACTGATTTGATAGGCAAATGGCACCAAAAGGAGAAGTTTTCTCTCCCTCTCAGGTCACCACTTGTCCTTCTCCCATGCCTGCTGACTGCAGAGGTAAAGGAGGACTTAGCTGGGCTTTACAGGAAGCTGTCTGTCCCACGGGGCTCTGGGCAAACAAAGGAGCAAACGCACTCGAAGTTTCAATCAGCCCCGCAGTCCCTGGAGGGAGAACTGGCTCTACAGAAAGAGCACGGGAGATGCACCATCTCCAACGCTTAACAAGAATCTAGCCCTAACAGGAGCTCCGGCTTTTTGGTGAATACATATTCATTGGGTATTTAAACTGCTGCACCCAGGCCAAAACTGCTCAGCTTCCAATGACACCTTTTTAATCACTAAATAGTGAAGTCTCTAGACAAGACACTGGAATGTGCCCTTCTCCGAGGAAGGCAAACGGGTGTTCCTTCACAACCCACATTTTCAAGTTTAAGCAAACCAGCAATCATTTTTACTGAAGGAAATCCACACCTTTGGGGGGGGTGGAAATGAGTCATGAACGTGACAAAAGACTTCCAGATCTGAAGATTTCTTACCCAGGTGAACATCTGAGGTGGCAGCTTCACTGACCCACCATGCTACATCGGAAGCCAGGCAGTCGCTTTTTTGTCAGCCATTAAACTAAACTGGTCAAACTAAACGAAGACATTTTCAAGACACACTCAGTCAGTCTAATTTGACAAAATAAGGAAATGGGAAAAAAGTGCCAGAGATTTTAATGAGCTTTGGATGAGGGACAAATGCCTCAGAAGAACCCTGAGCTTCCTGAAACCACTGGAGGAGTGTAACACATCCATCACTGCAGCAGGCACTGCGCTACGTCCAACCCTTGGCATCTGATCAGCCAGCAGGCACAGAGGGCTCACAAGCAGAGACAGAAAACACCCTCGCACAACTCTAATATCAAATTGTCATAACAATACAGCAATAAAGTGACCACACAGAGAATGATTTACGACCCATTGAGAAAACTATTGTTTATTTAGAAAAAAGGTTACACTGGTAGAATTCAGCAGATAAAAAAATTCTTTTTTTTTTTTTTTTAAAAATGTCATTGTGAAACTTTTCAGACTAAAGTTCAGCAATACAAAGCTCCTGTAGCTGTAATTGAAACTTAAATTTATTTCAGTTTTGAAGAGAGCATTTCCAATCAATCTAAAAACAACATGACAAACAAAAGGTGTGGCAAGGGACAACTGAGCACAGGTTCAGGTTGGGATGGAAGGGACAAGGTTCATTCTTTGTTTCTTTAAACAAGTCAACGTTGTACACAATATACAAATAATCCCTAAGCATTGCATGAAAACAGTGCTCCCACTTGACTTCTTTTTTTAGTCACCGATATTAAAAACAGGCCAAGTAATAAATAAAAACTGAGTTTAAATGAGGTAAATCCAAAAAGGTTCAATAACTGTTTATTCGTGGTTTTCAAACATCTAAAAGAATGCATTTCAGATTTAAAGAATTACTAAACTCAGGCAGTATTTTCGACAACCTAAAGTGGAACTCTGTACACATGAAACCTCATTTGCACTATGGCAACTGTTTGTTTGCAGCACATTGTGCTAAAATATGGAATAGGTAACACTTTCAGCCAGGTACTGAAAATAAATGTGTAAGAAACTAAGCAACAAGTTAAAATACAGTAATGTACAACTCAACAATTAAATCCTCAGCATGGGGAAATAAAACAGAGAACTGAATAATTTAAGGAGATGCAGATGGGTCCTCTTTATTCACAAATTTTTGTGCAATCTATACTCTGGAAAATACATTTCTGGTCACAGCTGGGTATCTTTCCATTTTGATCTCACCTGCAAAGGCATACATAATTGGAATTAGATGTTGTTCAAATGAATACCAATCTCAACTTAACATTTTATTTCATTCACAGTTCAAAGAATGAGGGGGAAAATAAAACTGTTTTCATCAGTCATTCATTCCCTAACTCTCGTTTAATCCACAACAAGAATGTTGTAAGTAGTGAAACACTAATTTAAAGATACAAATAACAAACAAGTAGTCACTCGGGAAGGTAAAACCTCTTTCAACAACTCTTACAACCCCCTCAAAATGTTACCATCTCTAAATTAGGTAAGAAATAAATGCAGTCAGCCAGTGTACATTAGGAAGAATGTTATAAAAGATTTAAACAGGAGCACGAGATTGGATTCCATTAAAAGCATTTTTTTGTACTTCACTACGCAGCAAACAACGGGCTCTTGACAGTATTCTAGGCCAGACGCTCCAGTTTAGCCCGTTACATAGCTGGATGTGAATTTTACTGTGCAACTGATGTCCACCTAAGTACCTGTTGCTTAAATCATGACATAGTCATAAACACAGTTGTGCCTTTTTTAACTGACGTCAATCCTCACTTTATATTGAATTGCTGGTTAAGATAAAACTTCACATTTCATTATTAAAGAAGCTGCAAGTCCTCAGTAGTGAACTTCATCTACCAAGACTGCCTTTTTTTTTTCCCCAAAAAAATAACATTTGAAGAAATGAGAAAACACCCTACAGGATCTACCCGCAGTGATCAGACAGTGATGGCTATGAAGGACAAAGGCTAAAAACAATTCCACTAAATTCTTTCCAAGGAGTGCTCATAATTTTCAGTTTGGAAGGTATTCACAGCAGCATGTTGTATTATTTCAAGAAGATAAACCAAAAAGAAAAGAAATAGTACTAAGAAGCAACCTGAACTCCTATCCTTTTTTCTGCCAACACCCTCCAAAGAGCACACGGTGTCAGCATGGGCTTTGCTGCCCAAAACCCACGTGCCCTCAGCTTCAGTGGCTGAACGAGCAACGTCACCAAACGAAACTGAGACCCTTCTTCCAATAACCACCCTTATGCTCTTTGGAGGCCACAATCCACACGTGGAGACTTTTTTCAGAAGATGCTTCTGGATGATTGGAAGATTTCAGAATTCAAATTTTGGGGGGGGGGTTTGTTTGTTTTGTTGGGCCCTATCAAAATATTCTTCTAAGCGTATATAAGCCATCCTAGACTCCTTAGGCCTCTTGGACAGAATTCCCAACAGCAAAGCATTTACACCTTTCAGATTTGGTCTCTGTTGTTTTAGTTAGAGGCAAACAGAAGAACCTGGGACTATGTCATACTCTTCCTCTGACACATAAAGCAAGTACAGCCACTACAAAGAGCAATATTAATTTGAGAGTCCACAGGCAATAAATCTCTGCAGGAAGTTGTGCCTTAAGTATTCTCAAACATGATACCCATACGACTGAACTTCCAAAACAAGGAGGTTGGAAGGGACCTCTGAAGACTGTCCAGTCCAACACCCTTGCTCAGAAAGCAGAATTAACTACAGCAGGTCGCTCAGGGCTGTGGCCTGCCAAGTTAGGTTTCGAATACCCTAAGGATGGCAGCTCTGCCCCCTCTCTGCGCAAACTGTTAGCTTTTGATCACCCTCACAGTAAAAAGACCCTCCCCAACCCCATCCCCAATCTTTAAATGGAATTCACAACAAATCATGTTTGTGAAAGGTGGCATCACCTTCTAGACCAGCCAACAGTCATGAAAATGAGACAAGTTTTCAGCCTCATCAATCCTTCTTCAAAATCTGAGCCAAAGGAGGACTTGTGCTTTTTAAAATGTTGTCTTCCCCCTCTCTGTAACAGTATCAGTTTGCCTGATCAAAAGTAAAACTCTACCTGCCTTGTAATGTTGTTCAGTAGTCAGAACAACATTACTCTATGAAAGTAAATAATCTCCAACTGTGAAAAACTGTTTCTAATTCATTTCTGCTTGTGCTCACTTTGAGTGGTCACAGAATCTACAACGTTTTAGCAGAAATAATAAATCAATTCTAAATGGAGAACAAACATAGGAATTATAAAGCACTTGGACAATTTGTGAACTGAGAGAAGCCACATTCTTTGATATGTGTTGAACATTGTCAGTTATTTTCATGTTTACCCAACATATAGACACTTTTTAAAATGTAAAATTGTCCACCGCTTTATGTAGAAAGATTGGTAGCGGTGTGTGACAAGTTGGGTAGGTCAGGTGAACTCATTTTAAGTTCACTGGGGCACCTTCCTTCCCAAATAACTGAAAATGAAACATTCTGAGACTCTTAAAACGGCTAGACACAAAAGAGGAGGGGAAAAAAAAAAGAGACACCCTCATACCCCTAAAACTAAATTTAAGTCTCCACATATTTGCACAGATCTGAAAAAAGACTGCAGAACACTGTCAGCTTCAAAGAACAACTTATTTTTCTAAAAGCTCCAGTCTGAATATGTGTTACTTATTCTGAAGTTTTCTTTTCTTTTTAAAAATAGTCAATGCCAAAAAAATCTGAGCATCTATACGATCTCTATGCTGATGATGGGGAAAGTTTTTTTCCCCTGGGACAGAATTTAAAAAACCCAGCACAACAAAAACCAACCAACCAACCACCCACCCTAAAACAACCAAAACCAACCCCAAACCCCACCCTGGGTAATTTCAGCCCTTTCACACTCAGGCTGTTTTGTTTGTATATCCTTTACCATTCAAAAGGAGCCACGGGAGATATCAAGCCAAACAGAGTAAATCATAAAAATTTTTACCTTGACTGGAATTATGTTAATTATCTGTGCTTGTCTGAAGATTTATGAGTAGATTAATCGTTAAGGAAAAAAATATATTTTAATACATATAATAAAAGGAAGCTAATGTTCTGTATTTTTCTGAAGTGGTAATGTGTAAAAGGATATTGTTTCTTTTCTTCTTTCCCTCCAGTACTGTCTCGTTTTTCTTTCTTCTCTGTTTTTTCCTTATCATGTCTCGATTCCTTTAAAAAAAAATACCCATAAGGGAAATAATTTATTACAATATACATTGTACAGTCTGATTAGAAGGATTATCCATATTTAAAGTTATAACTGGCCACAGCTAAAATACCAAATCATCAGTCAGAATGACAGTAATTGGCTTCTGTGATTTCTGAGATTATTCTAACTTGGTTTTACAGTTCTATGATAACCGTGACCACTACAGAGTTAACTGGGAACTATTGTTTGGTGTTTTACAAATATGACTACAACATACTTACCTGTTCTCACAAAAAAAAGCTGTGCTGACACATGCATTTGAAAATCTGAACACAAGCAGACTAGTTTATATGTAAATTAACCTTGCTTTCACATATCTGCTGACCAAACCAGTCTTTAAATATTCTAGATTATTCAAAACCTGAACTGTAAGTTCTGAATTTTCCTGGCTACTGCCAAAATGAACTATTCCCCCAATTTATCCTGCCAGGACTGACTCCCAAAATATTTAGAGCCACAAGACATCAGAATTTCCAGAAGCATCTTCCTACACGTTCACAGCATATCTTTTTAATTTAGGCCATAAAGCAGCAATAAAATTTAGGAAAAAAGAATCAGCTTGTTCTGTCAACACCAACCAAAAAAATTAAAATCAACAAAATGAGAACAGCTTATTTTACCTTTTTGCTACCAGAGGAGCTCTTCTCCATCTTTTCTGCTTTAATAGAATCGCCTTTCTCTTTTCCTGAAGATTTTGATTTGTTCTTCTCCTTCTCCTTTTCGTTTAAGCGAGGGGAATCAGAAGGACTTTCACTTTTGCTATGTTTCGAAGAACCAGCTAAAAACACAAGCAAAAGTTGTAGTTCACAGCAAGTAAAAGCCTAATACACACAGGCACAAAATAAAATACCTACTTGTCCCGTTTTCCTCTTTGCGTCGCTTAGTTGAATCCTGTGGTACCTCTCGGTCGCTGTTCGAGTGATCCTGGTACCAAATACAATGACGCAGATGTTAGCAGACTCAAACACACTTCTGAAGTAGCACCTGCTTATAACCCTATTTGGGAGAACTTAAAGTGTGACCGAGTTATTACATCTTGAGTAAAGTTTCTTGAGATCGGTTTTGAAGCGAAAAAGGTTTGAATACATTAATGTAAACCAACCTTTGAAAAAGTAACAGAGCAAAAGGAAACCAACCCTGATACAGATCACTTCTGCTTGGACAGGCTGTACAACCAATTATTATTGCAAGGCCTTTGAACAGAAAGCTTTCCAGGTACATACCAACTTTCTAAACTAGTTCATAAAAATTGCACCAACCCTTTTTCGATCTTTCCTGTCCTTTTCATCTTTCTTCTCTCTCTCTCTGGATCTTTCCCTTGACTTGTCCAAATCTTTCTTGTCCACTTCTCTCTCCTTACTCTTGGACAGTGTTGGAGTAGTGTGGTTAATGTAGTGCTGTTAAATTAAGGCAATATCACCAAAGATTAACATGTATTCCTAGATGTGTAAATAAAAAGTCTTACTCTAATGCAACAGATCTAGCTCAAAGAACAAAATTAAACATTAATACTTTACTACCAAAAAAAAAGTGATTGAAGACTTTCAAACTGGTTATCTACTATTTAACCTGTAGCTTTGTCTTCTCAGCACTGGAAATTCAAGAACACCTTCTTGTAACTGAAACACATTAAATACACACAATGCTGTTCACCAGTATGGTTTGATACACCAAAGCAAATCAGACAGCTGTACTACTGAAACAGGATATGCAGATTCCTGGACTGACTTAACGCTTGGCAATCTTGCCTGGAATGAATGAATGAATGGCATCAGCTACTTAAACAGGTTCTAATTAATTTTTGAAGAATAATAGTAATCCACAAAGTATTTAAGCCAATACTTTGAATAATGTGTTTTTTTCATCTGAAGTAATACAAAAGTCCACCTTAAGCCTAAACTTCAAATGATAAAAGCAGCTGAACATAGAAAAGAATTGGTTTTGTTCTGTAATGTATTCTAGATTGTTATTCCACTCTCTCTTCTAACCAATTTTTATAAGCTCTGTAAAACATACTAGTTTCACAAAGCTGAGTATTTTTAATACAAGCTGACGTCGCAAGGGAGGAGAACAGAAAGCAAGTCACAGTCATGTCAACAATAATTAACACTTGACAAAGTTTAAATGCTACTCTGCGTGTGTGTGTATATAAGGTAGCACGTGCTACATCAATACCAATAAATTACAGTAACTAATTCTTTTTAAATACAATTATACAGTTAGATCTTTCTAAGAAATATTTTTCCCAGAATACCAATAAGAGCACATTTTAAACTAAAACACCTTTCCTTGATATTTTATATATTTAAGTTACAGCAACACACAGATTTAAATCAGTATACCTTAATCTTTCCCCAGTTCCATAAGCCATCAGTTTTATTTGGGGAAAAAAAAAATAGTATCTTTTAATTAAATGTTCTCTGTATTTCTTTTTAGAGAGGCATCTTTCTTAAAAGGACACCAGAGAGAGAGGTAAGTGGAAGATTAGTTTACAACAATCTAGAAATCATTTGAACCAAACCAAATACTGTTTCAAACAATTTTAATTCTTTAATTAATCCTGTCCTCCAGTTCCAGTAAATGTTTAACTTGCAAAAACTTGATGTTACTGGTCCTATATTAAAAGTCACACTGACAATGTTAGGTCTCTTGTCCCTTTATTACTTCACTGAAATTTTATTATCCTCCTACGCCACAGACTGAACCTTCAATATCCCTTTCACTAGACGCTTCTCTTTCTGCTCTTTTTCCCTCACTCCTCTTTTCTTGTTCCATCTCCTACACTGTCATTCCACAAGTAAATTTATCCTTTTTTTCCCTCCTTTTCTGCTGTCAACTTTTAACAGTGACTCGCAGATACATTTTTTCTATGCAGCCCCACTCAGTTGTCTCCTAGTGATGCCTGCCGCAGGAAAAAGCAAACACGTAGCTCTGCCTTCTCCTCGTCCATTTCTTAAGTTCACATAGTTGTTCCTGACAGATTCCACTGCTCTTCTACCATCCCAGTCCAGAGTTCTGGAAACCTGCATCCCTCTCACCCCTCTCTACAAGCAAAGGCTGGGTTTAGCTCATCAGGCTTTATCAACTGGCTTCTAGAAATGCTGCTAACAGAAACATCATCACGTTCTGGGCGCTGCTGCATGTTGCCTGACTTCGGCAAAGGCCAAAACAAGAACACACACAAACCTAAGTCACACTCGACACCATTCATTTTATAACCTGCAATGTAAACCCACATTTCAATGGTCTGGCCCCAGAAATTAAGCAGAGTCAAGAATAAAGAAAGTCTGTAAGCATACAACACACTAGACTTCTAACTTCCAGTAGAAGCTGAACTCATAAATCTTCCAGGCTTCTGAATATCCCACCCTTTCCCCAAACAAGAACATGGCAGAAAAGAGCATTTAACTTGTCTTACACCATGTATGGGGAACATCGTCAAGAAGTGCCTTAAGTCTGTTAGAATGGCACTGGAAAATGAGAACTAGTTCATTAAGTGAGAACAAATGAAAAAGCAGCGTTTAGAAGGAGGAAAGGGTTGGGCACCCCTCATCCCCCGAGCACTTAACGAACAATAAATCCATGAAAAAGTCACGCAACTGCCAAACACTTCCAGCTAAATCTATAGAGACAGGTTATAGTGAATTCTAAAATCTAACTTTTCAAATTGACTAGAAAAATAAAGCTGTCTGTTGATCACTTAATTACAAATAGCTCCACTGTCTGCTTGATTACCACATCAATGTGTTAAGTAAAATAAATAGTTTTAAATACAAATGTAGCTTAACTAATGAAAACCCAAGTGAAGTTTCAATTAATCAGTTGAACCTTGACTAATACCATAAGGAGGGAAAAGTGAGATTATATAGATTACCATATACCACACTTGAAAGAGATGTGAGCTCAAGACAAATCTTATCATTTTCAAATTTTAAAAAACTTACGACAAGCTATCATGACAACAATTTATAAACCATTTTTTGAAAGTACACGGATTCAATCTACAGACACCATAACTTCATGAATTGTAAGAATCAATGGATGCTTCCTATATACACTCTCCCTGTAAGCATGTATGGCTGGTACTGGAAAGATCTGATTTAAGAAGACCCCATCAGCAGGTGTCCATTACAAAATCAGAGCTACTCTGAACTAACAGTGTTCTGAACATTTTGTTTATACAAAGAGAGCTACAAGTAAGAGAGCAGTGTAAATATAGACTAGGAAGGGATAATCTATTATGCATTTTTAAATTAAGTGAATGTAAGTAAACCTCGACACATCCATAAGTTATCATTTTCCAAGTGATAAACATTTGTGCTATTTAGTTACACATTGATACTGACTACCTAATCAATTAACCTATTAGCAAGTTTACAGTATTTGTGACTGTCACTATCAAGTGGCTGAGTTTAAATAAGGCAATAAAACAGCTGCAGAATCTGTCTAAAATACAATATTGCAGAGTGTTGTTCAACTCATACCCCACTCTGCTCAGCACTTGTCAGCACAGTCCAGTTTGGTCCCCACTATCCAAACCAGACGTGGACAGGCTGGAGAGGGCCCAAAGATGACCAAAGGACTGGGAAACCTGCCGTGTGAGGAAAGGCTGAGAGAACTGCGTTTGTTCAGCCTTGAGAAAAGAAGGCTCAGGGGAGACCTTATCACCATGTTCCAGCATTTAAAGGGTGGCTACAACGAAGAGGAGACTCCCTGTTTACAAGGGGTCACATGGAAAAGAGGAGGGGTCATGGGGACAAGTTACTCCTGGGGGGATTGGGACTGGGCAAAAGAGGAAAATATTTCACAATGAGAACAATCAGCCACTGGGATCATCTCCCCAGGGAAGTGGTGGAGTTCCCGACATAGGTCACTTTCAAGATCCGGCTGGACAGGGTGCTGGGCCATCTCGTCTAGGCCGTGCTTTCGCCAAGGGAGGTTGGACCACATGATCCCTGAGGTCCCTTCCAACCTGGTCTTCTGTGATTCTCTGAACTCCTGAAAGCATTCTTTAGTGTACATTCTCATAAGACAGTGAATCTGAAGTGCATTTACAGACAGCAAATGCACAAAGATGATCATTTAGGAGGCCGTCTGTGATGCTTAGAGATACAGTACTACAGCACTAAAACATGATTACAACAGTATATGGGGAAACAGTACTGATATTCCAGATGTAGGTCTCAAATGTTTTTGGTTTTAAATAACTACTGGTTTTAATTGGTATCAAAAAACCCTATTCTAAGAACTATTTTAACTATGCTATTACCTCTTCAGCCAAATAAATGGCTTAATCATAAGGACATTTCTATAAATTTACAAGTTTCAGAGAGGACCAGAAAAGATACTAACTCATCTCTTAAAATATTGATGGAATGGTAAATTCAGGGGTTTTTTGCTATGCTGCTTCCACATAACTATCCCCCTCTCCTGTACAGAGATTCGAGATAGCCTCTGTTACTACACTAGCATTTACAGGAATGGAATTTGAATTTTCTGATGGGGTTTGCCACAAGACTAAAAGTTAAGTTCTCTCTGCAACAAAACATGAAAGTAAACTTTGATGGTGTCTAAAAGACTCAAACCTTTGCTGAAGAGTCCTTGAGTTCGTTGAGGTTGTCCTGTAGAAAATGAATGGAGATGACACGTAAGCTGGAATAGTTTTCAGAAACCAGAGGAACTTTGGGAAGCATGGCCGTACCTTGAAACAAAAACCAGCTACTCCTTCTGGAATAAATCTTATGTTAATACTGTGCACTGAATAAAGCTAGGAACTGAAATATTTTTTTAAAAAGAAAGAAGGAGGAAAAAAAAAAAAAAAAGAGAGACAGTCGTATCTAATCTCTAAACCCAGTTATTAAGTAAACTACAAGATGTGTTCACATCTAATTCTTCATAAAACAGTAAAAAACCCCACTCTTCTGCCAGGACAAAATACGAACAAAAAATAGTCTTAAGTCTAAATACAGCTGAACCACAGGTGAAATAGGTTTAAAACCATTTTAAACTTGTATCTTCTCCACTTTCAGTTAAGCGTGGCAGAAGTCACTCTGGAATGGCTTTACATTGCCATTTACAAAAAACAGGCAAGAAAAACCCCCATCACCTTCAGTTATCACTGTCACCTGCTTCTTCAGAACTAGAAACAGCTACTTGAGTTCTCCAAAATTAGACTAAAGCTTTCAAGGAAATCTTACATAGAAAAAGATGTACTCTTTGAAAAACCACAAAAAAAAAAAAAAAAGCAAAGCAAAGCAAAGCTTGTTCTAAAGTTGGCAAGATGGTGAAGTTTAAAGGCCCACATAATCCATTACAGTGCTCTTGATGAAGTATTAGTAACTTACAGTTTTAAACGTTCAACGTACTGCAAATTCAAAGATTCCATGAACATAGATGGTTTAGAAATAAAATAAATATGGAGCAAGGAATGGCTACCCTGAGTCTTCAAGTAGGCTACGCCCATGGTTTTGTGCTGCGCTTGAATGCTTGGGGTTTCTCTTTGCTGGGTAGTAGGCTTGGTTGCCACATCTGGTTTTATCGTAACGCAGGGCTCAACATGGTGGGAACCCATTGGAAATAAACAAACCTCGAAGGGAAGGTACAACAGAAGCTGCATGCGCACTGAATATACACAACTACAGGAGAACTGATCACCAAGGAGACTTTAAAATGGAACTCCTTTCAAGACTCCTCCTTAGAAGGCACATATCGGTATGATGCTCATCAAGAAGCCTGATGAATTCAGAGGTATCGTACATCCCGTATCATCCAGGAATCTTCAGTGCTATAGATTCTTCAATAGAAGTGCAGAAAAATATGCTCCACTCTGCTGCAAAGACTCATTTGCTTGTAGCTACCATTGCACTCCAAAAAAACTGACTGCTTAAAACAATGAGGCACTTCTGTGTAAAAATTCTCTTGCAATTTCCAAACACTATTTACAAAATTTGTGCTAGGTCCTTGAAGCATTATTTTGGTTAATTAAAAATATTTTTATAGAAAAAAAAGACAGTCCGCCAATAAAGAAAAGGAATGCATTTTCTAATGCAACATAAAACCTCCAGTGGTTCCAGAGTATACTTGGCACAAAACTTGAAGGAAGTCGAACATTGGCATCCCAAACTCGTGAGCCTAACATGGGCGCTGCCTTCCTCAGGCTATACTAACCTTTACTGTTGAGGAATGTGATGGAGAAGAATGTGTATCAACTTTGCGGCGTTTTTGTTCTGAGGAAAGAAAAGAACAATAGTGTTATTAAAACACATTTGAAAGGATAGTCTAATAACGGGGCTGAGGTATCAAACTAATTTAAACTAGAATCCAAGTTTCTCTACCGTGTAAATTTTGGTTTTCTTAAGCTATCTAGAGTTATCAGCATGCCTTGACCCTCTTTATCAAAGCTGACAGCAAAAGGGTAACGTGACAGACTGCTGCAAAATTACGCTCATTTCAAACTTCCGTTTTAAGTAAGGCTGTATGTGAATTTCAGAGTTACTATGAAGACCCTGAAAAGGCGAACTTCATGAAAAGCATTACAATCCTCCTTTATTTGCTTTGCCTCAGGCGGTGCAAGTATAAAACTTCACATCAGCCTCAGATTATAAGAACTTAAACCATCAACATGAAGGATTTGTTAACCTTTAATGTAAGAAGGAACTGATAAAGCTTACAGTGTCCTTACTAAGGACACAAAGGCCTGTATCTTCTCCATCCCATTCTCTTTCAATTCAAAGGGTATTACAGAACTCTCAGAGTACACCCTGGACGTTTTCACGTCACCTTTTTGCAGAACTTGCAAAGGCCACATTTATACAAAACCATTTTATTAAGAGACCATTTAGACTTACACTAAAAAGTGATAGGCTTTATGAAAATGACCACATACTGAAGGTCATACCTTCACACAGCTCGCCTTTTGGCGATACGCTGGCTCCCTCCCTTAGGCACTACCTGTATTTAAAAGCCACTGCCCAAACGCTAGCTGTAATGCAGCAATTCCTTCTCACCATCTCTAGCATTTTTGGACATTCAGTGATTTTTCCAGTGACACATCCTGGTTTTCCTAGTAAAGACCAGAAATGAAATACGCGAACTTACCCCTCTCAGATTCTGATGTTTCTGATCGGGGAACAGGTGACTTCAAGGACCCAGCTACTGGCACCTTTTCTCCTCCTTTAGCATTTTCCTTGGATTTCATTTCCTTCGCTATATCTCTTTCTCTGGACGGCTCCTTTTCTCTCTCCTTTTCTGCAGTTGACTTTGACTCAACGATGGTAACAATAGTCTTGGATTTTTCTTCTTTTGAAGCTTTTTCTTCTTTCTTGACTTTTTCCTTCTCCTTGTCAGATTTTGGCGTTTTCTCCTTGATCTCTCTTGCTTTATCATCTTTGTTCACCCGTTCTTCCTTTGGTTTGTCTTTCCCATCCTTCCCAAGTGCCTTCATCTCTGGAGCGGCAGCTGGAGTCTTTTCTTTTTTTTCTTTATCTTTTTCCTTCCCACTTTTTTCTTTATCATCTTTCTCTTTAATAATTTTGCTGCATCAAAAGTAAAAAAGCCAATTAGCACACATACAAAACCAGCTCTAGTTTTATCACAAAAAATTTGCTTCTGATGGTTTGACAGAACCTCCTGCAGTAGTCAGTCAGATTTCAGATTTGCTGTCTCTGTCACAACAGCAACAAGCAAATGTTCTCATTTGTTTTATCTCTATTTAGCTAAAATGGAATGCATTTAACCACAGTGTCAGATCAGTACAGCTGTGTATTTTGGAAGAAATAACCTCATTTATTAAACTCTGAAGAAATGGAAACGATTTATACGGAATCTGACCGTAAAAAAACGGGTCGGTTTCAAGTACAATTCTATGATTTGGAAGGAAGAAAATAGAGAATGTCAGAGAGTAGTTCTCACCTATTAGAAGCACTGTTTCCATTGCTTGTGGTCACCTTCGGTGTAGCATTGACAGCTTTATTAATAACTTTCACCACACCCTGAGATTTCTCCTTCATTTTATCTGTTTTAAAAAAAGAGAACAGCTTTATTTCAACAAGTTAACATACACCCTTACTGGTTAAAATAAAACAAGTAGCTAAGCATACCAGCTTTATTTCAACAAGTTAACATACACCCTACTGGTTAAAATAAAACAGGTAGCTAAGCATATTCGTGTAAGATCATGTGTAGCTAAGAGTTAAAACAGGTAATTAAACGCAGAACACCCTCTCCCAAAACCAACTAAAAATAAAGAACACACATTGAACCTATTTAGCATCGCATTTAGATTTAGTCTTTCCAGTTTAATGAGCCAAATTTTGAGGGAGTAGCCTGTAATGTCAGAAGAATTCTACTAAAAAATAAATAATAATCATAGGTTTGTTTACCAGTCTCCTCAGTAGTGCCTTCTTCCAGTCTAACTGTATTTATTGTGAGAGATGTTGGCATCCCAGCACCACCTGGCCCATTTTGTACTGTTGCAGCTACAGCATTCCTGGCAGGTGGGTCTTTGTGGTGGAATTCATTTTCAGGTATCATGAAAGGCTTCCTACTTTTCAACTGCCCAGAATAGCTGCAAGTCGCACAGATTGTTAAATATGCACAAACATAAAGCAAAACATGGGTTGAATTTTAAATGAGGATCTAATCTAACAGTTCATCTGTTATTTATTTCACAGTTTTTCCCAACTGATACGCAGTTTCTTCCCCCTTTATCGATGATCTCAAAAGAAAAAAAAAAAACAAAACAGAAAAAACAAACAACAAACAAACCAACCACTAGACACAGCAGCCCTACTCCACACCCACTTCACCACCAGCACACGCAGACAGCTGCCAAACACACAGAAGAAACAGCCTGCTGACAAAACTCAAAACTGTTAGGGCAACCTGAATTGCCCCTCAAGCATACGTGGATGATTCTGCATTCATCACAGAGAGATGTAAACCATAACTAAGTGTTTCAGTTTAGCATTTTAGAATCATGTAAACTTCCAAAATCTAAGCGGTCTTGCATCAATAGCCCTTGGCTTTCTTCATTTTAGTCTCCCTCCTATCTACTTGCTGCTATACTACTCCTCTCAAATTAAGCTATGCTCTTGTGAGTGGAAATCTTTACTATTCAAAGTGTTTTACTAGAGTCTTGTAAAGGAAATTAGCGATCATCCAGCACAAAATGAAAGTTTTCATTCACACTGCCAGCCCTGAGATGCAGGATAGCGAAATCTTCTGTGATAAGGTAAAAATCAAATGTTAGGACTGTAACAGTTCCGAGTCTTTAGAAGCTTTTCATGATCCACTTTTAACCACTTTCTTAAAGTAAGGTGTTGTTACCCCATAGCCAATGCATATAGATCGGGTCTCTTCTCTTTCTCTTCCTGACATATCTTATGTACTCTTCTTTCCAAGGCTTGGCCGAGGTTCAGCACTTTTGGGTACCACGGAAGGATTTTGGTCAGCACAATCAGGATGTTTCGGATATGTGTATATTCTCCTGTTTCAAGGCAGTGCACAGAAGCCTAGAACACAAATTAAATCTAATGAAGTTGTTTGTTTGGTTGGTTTTTTATGAAAGCTCCCAAAAGCTTACGTTTTTCTTTATTTACCTTAGTTAATTTATAGTGCCATTTGTGTACCACATGTCTAAAATTCTCGTAATCCAATTGATCAGCTTTATTTCCACCATCAAATCCAGTTGCCCGTAATATAGTTAGGAAGCCTGGATAGTTGCCACATTCCTACATGTGCACAAAAAAAAGAAAAAAATATTTTTGGGGAAGCATAAAAACACTAATTCTGCAAAAGTTAATCAGGTAACTGAAGCACTTTTTCACTGATTTTCCTAAAGA